TATATTATTTTTAGCACAATTCTACAATGTACCAAAAAATGCAGTTCCGCTAGGCTCGCACGATCCCAATCGCGACATGAGTGTGTTTGTTCGAGGCTTGCGGTGCGTAAATATATGAAAGGCGCGTTGAAAACACTTATTGTCCCAATATAGTGCGTATGAAACCGCCGTGCAATGTACCTATCCCAGTCAGTGGGGCGCTCAGCACACATAGGTTTGAGCATCTGCTTGAGGGTCCCGTTGAACCTTTCGACCAGTCCATTACATGCAGGGTGGTATGGAGATGTCATTAGCTGTCTGATTGAAAGTAGAGTACTCACTTGTTTCATGACCTCAGAAGTGAATTGGGATCCCCGGTCAGAAAGCATTTCTTTTGGCATACCAATTCTAGAGAAAACTTTAACGAGGGCTTCAGCCACTCTCTCGGCTTCAATGTTTGGTAACGGTACTGCCTCAGGATAACGAGTAGCAAAATCTATAATAGTAAGAATATATCTGTTGCGATCTTTAGACATAGGAAATATGGGACCGACAATATCAACGGCAATACGTTCAAAAGGTGCCTCTATTAAGGGCATTCTGCCCAAAGGAACTTTAGTAACCCGGCCTTTCTGGACGGTTCTCTGGCAAATGTCGCATGAACGACAATATCGTGTAATATCAGCTGTTACCCCTGGCCACCAGAATTTAGAGAGTACTTTATCTGTGGTTTTCTTTGCCCCCTGATGCCCACCTAATAGATTTTCGTGAGCCTGACGCATTACATGTTGACGGCATATCTTTGGAACAACGAGTTGGGTAAAACAATCACCATGTTCAATGGTAGGTGAGCAGAATTTCCTATATAACAAAGCCTTTTTGTAATGGAAACTAGATTCTGCTTGGTTATTACTCACATTTACCCTCTCTTCTTTAGCAAGTTCTCTGGCTTTGTAAAGGGTTGGGTCTTCTTGTTGAAATGTCTTCATGTTTTCTGTGGTGATAATTTGGTTGGTGGTTTCAGGAATCTTAAGTAGTCGAAAGGGTTTATCTTGATCTTTAACTTGAGATCTTGTCTCCACTGCGCAAGCTGGAGATGGATGCTCGGTCCAAGATTGGTCTGGATCCTCTGGAGCTCGTGATGTGATGTTACCTAATATTAGATCATAGATAGGATTATCCATACATAATGCATGTGTTACCCCACAAAAGAATGGTGTGTTAACATTTATCAATGCTACAGGTAGAGTCCTCACAGTCCCATCAATCAAAACACAAGTTTTCATGTTACCAGTTAGTTGATCGGGTGAAACATACTCCCTCTTTATGACCACACCACTGCATCCACTGTCACGAAGAACAGATATACGATGTGGTCCCACCATACCTGTTGAGACTGGCATTTTCTTAGTTAATGAATTATCGAGAGCTGCGCTCATAATTGGGAGATGATGTCCACACTTGAGAGTCACCTGACTACCATCCCTACTTATACAACATTCATCTAATGATTCAGATATTTTAGTGATCATACAAGCACCCACGTCCGGTTTCTCTTCTACACCGTCTGGACCTACGCTATTTATTGCCCGGGAAGTGCCTTTTGACTGACAATTTGAACAACCCATGGTAAATAAACCTGCACACTTGTCAGTATCCTGCCTGCAATATCTAGCAACATGTCCCGTTTTCTGACATCTATAACACTTGAGGGGAGTATTACCCTTAAAGGAAGTTGAAAATCGACAATTCCTAGCTAAATGACCTACACGATGGCACAGAAAACAAGTTACAGAATTAGGTTTACCTACCACTTGTGGCAATGCCCTACTTGGGGTCTCCTGAGTCCTATTGGTGTTTGGTGGATGTTTTGAAAATTTATTTCCGAAATTTATAGGTTGGCCAAACAATCCCCCACGAGCCTCCAAGTACTGCTCAGCAATTTCAGCCATGGCCTGTATTGTCCTAGGCTGTCGTTCTCTAAGAATAAGGGCTAACTCACGTCCACACCCATCTGTAAACTGTTCTCGCAGCAGTAAATCCTTCAGTCCGTCGTAGGTCTTATTTGCTTCTGCCAAATCAATCCATCTACTCAAATAATTATCAAGTCTGGCAGCAAACTGGTGACCACTTTCTCCTGTTTCCGGCCTTGCTACACGAAATTTATGGCGGAATCCATCAGAAGTTAACTGGAATCGTTTCAAAAGAGCTGATTTAAGTAACCTGTAGTCATTGGCTTCACCTGCAGACAACCTAGAATAAACTTCAAGAGCTTTACCGGTTAATAATGCACTTAAATTAACTGTTCTTTCCAACCCTGACTAGTAGCATATCTTTCAAATCTTTTCAAATAAGCATCAAGATCATCCTTACCGTCATTAAATGCGGGTAACTTTGGCCTACTCGCCTTAACTCTTGACCCAGTGTCCGGAATAGGTAGTATCCTACCCCCTGACTTAGGTCTATTCTTCTCCTGTTCTAGTTGTATTTCTAATTACGCATCTCTATTTGAAATGCTTGATCTTGACTTTCTCTCTCACTGGCATCTCTTTCCTCTTCTCTTCTCATAGCTCTTTCTTCTCTCTCTCTCTCTCTCTCGCATCTTCCTCTCTCTTTTCAACAAACTCTCTCAATTCCACCCCACTCAAACCCAGATTTTTTCCTGCTTCGACAAGCTTTTGAACGTCCATCATTACACAAACGCAAAGCACAGCCTTCAAATACTGGGGTGTTAATTATCATTAAGTAATCCAATTTTTTAAATTTTACTTTATATAAAAATAAAAATAAAAAGGAGTAAAGCTTATTTATCCACGTCCACGCTGTAAATGTTCAGTTTAATTTCCCGGACGAGCCCCCAAATAAATGTCACACAGCCTAATATAGGCTCATACGGACATTGTAATTTTTCTGAACAAATACAACCTCAGGACGATAAATAAACTGAACTGACACTGTCTTACAAAAAGTTAAAATAAACTGATTTAATATGATATAGCATATGAATTTTTCAATTATATAGAACATTTAAACCAAAAGAAAACGATCTCAGTTATCAAAACACCAATTATATTCAGGTGAGTGTTTTACACTGTACAATAACCTATCTCTCAAGATTCACTGTTAATGGTAAGAATATAGTTTAAAAAAAAAACAATAACCTAGGCTTATTGGTAATCCTCAATTAACATCAGTCATCAGATGGAAATAATTATTATATATACCGGATTAATAATATTGTACTGTATATCACAATGAAAACTGTTACTGTTAATGGTACATATTTATGTTATGATTTACTTTACATTTATCTTCTCAAATTTCAATATAATACAGTAACAATAACTTCACAATATTAACAGCAATTTCAGAAATTTAACCATCATTGAACCATTATATTATTTAACGTTCCAAAAATTAATGGGAATAAAGCATGGAAAAATGATTACAGAATTATAATAAATGAATAATAAATTTTGTAATTTAACAAAAGCAAAAATTATATAAAGTTCAACTGTCCACTTTCAAACACCCTGCCCAAAGAACAATCGCAATCCCCCACAGTTCACTTCTTTAATGCCATTCACAGGTTCTTCCTGGCTCAGTAAAATCGAATAGCTTTAAACACCAATTCACAAATTCTGCATTAAAGTGGCTTTCAATCCAAATTATATTCTTGTATCCGAGCTTATTAGCTCCATAAATTTACTAATTCTGGATTATAGTTACCTTCAATAACGTTCAGCATAAATCAGGGTTCCTCCCTGCAATCTGAGCTTATTAGCTCCACAAAATTCACTAATTTTGAATTATAGTGACGTTCACTTTAACTCAGGGTTGACTTCTCCCTGCAATCTGAGCTTATTAGCTCCACAAAATTCACTAATTTTGAATTATAGTGACGTTCACTTTAACTCAGGGTTGACTTCTCCCTGGTATCCGAGCTTATTAGCTCCACAAAAAATATAAATAGCAGGTACTTGTAAAAAAGGTTTCCATCCAAATACATTAACTCAGGGTTGACTTCTCCCTGGTATCCGAGCTTATTAGCTCCACAAAAAAAATATAAATAGCAGGTACTTGTAAAAAAGGTTTCCATCCAAATAATGCAATATTGATTACATCACAGCCGTTCACTGGTTGATTTCTGGCATACATTCAGGCCTATCATTTATATTATAAAATAACAGGCAAACAAATTGTTCTTATCTCACCCGCAATGTCTATAGGCTGGTATAACGTAGGCATGGAACCTGATATTGTTGTCTGTAATACAACATATATTCACTCTGGACTAACATGTCCTTTCCCTGCTATCTCACAAGTCATTCTCCAAACCCCCTTCATCCAGTTCTAACCAACACCCCACCAAAAAAATTATATCTCATTACTATTCATGCACTCCCATCCAATCAGTGCTTCACACCACTAACCTAATCTCATTTGCATCTCTGCACTCATTTGCATTACCTCACTTATATTAATTTTTCATTCAGCCAATCAGTAAATCACACACCAAGTTTCTCAAAGAATACTTACCTCATTACCATATTTGACTGAAGACTAGCTGCTGTGTGTAAAAGTAAGGTTAGTGGTTCAAGGAAAATACTTACTTATAAACTAAAATAGATGTCACTTGTGACAGTGTGATTGTGAGGGTAGAGTGATTATGGTAGGATTAAGTGGTATTGCTAAATCCCACAAACCTCCCAAAACACACCGTAGAAAATCAAACAATTCAATTGTGATTGACTGACTTGGTATAAGAAAATTAAATACATTCATAACTATTTTTTGGCTAAAATTTAGATTTTTTTAATGAAAAAATACTTGCAAATACACCACAAACCTCTAAACACACTGCAAACCCATCTAAACCATATAATTATGATTGTAGAACTCTATTTTTCTTTAAAAAAAAAATTGATGTTCATACTAACCCATTGTTTGTGGGGTTTACCAATACACAGGTTGAATTTCTTGAAAATTGTGATTCTGCTTCCGTGAAATCGGCCACAAGTAAATTATTTTAGTATTAATAAATGCATGATTTATGATGATTTGATTACGTTGTTGCTATTTTTAAAAATTTGAATGGAAAAAAAATAAAATGTGTAATTCATGGCTTTTTATTTATCTTTGAATGTTTTATCTTTGAATATTAATTCTTGCAAAAAGTAAAATGTAAACGCCAATTTGTTTAATGTTATATTCCTTTTAAAAACTAAATTATTGAAGATAAAAAATGCATATTGACTCAAGAAAATCAGTTTTAATACAGAATTTGATTAATGGGACCATTTTTACCTACCTGTCATATGGGGCCATTTTTTCCGGGGCCATTTTTTTAAGAGCTATTTTTCCGGGCCATTCTTACCGTACACCCTTACAGTTTATATAGTACCCTTAGTATTCTTAATTAATATGATGTTGCTATAATATTTAGTGGTAACTAATAATGTTTTTTCTGTATTTAGACAGGGAATGTATTCAGCATACTGTGATTTGCTATCCTGTTGATTAATCTGATTTAATCTGGCTGACTTGACAATGTTAATATACCCGGCAAAGCAGTAAGTCATAATTACTGTATCATGTTAGACAGCTATTTGATGTATATTTATATATATATATATATATGACATAATCTTCAAATATTGAATTAATTTGCTGTTTTCTTTATTATTGGATGTTACACTTGCTGACTTGAGATGTTTAAGTATTATGCCTAAATTATTATTAATATTGAATTTGGATAATTAACATGCATTGTGTTAAGTAAAGTTATCATGAAAGTTAAAGGTCATGAATAGTTAAATTAATATGTGATGTCAATGATATAAGCTGTTATTTTATATTTATTCAGTGTTTACTTATGTTTTATAGAATCGAATGAGACAACGTTGAATAAACGAATTCATACGAACTTTAACCGTGGCGTA